ATCGTGGAACTGCTGCCTCATCAGGTCCAGCCGGGCGCGCCGCATTGGTCCTTTGGCGCCTTTCCTGTCGGCATCTCTAAAACTCTGGACATTGAACTGGCAAAGTTTGATCCGTACCTCAGCCTGCTGATTTTTCTTAACCACATGGTCGACACAATGAACCTTGGTAGCTCTAGGCGAGAGCGGCTGAGAGACAAACTTCCCATCAACCAGGGGGGGGGTAAGCGTGGCGGTCATTAGGCGTAAGCCGTAACCATTCCCAAAATTTTTGGGGGCCTTCCCTGAGGCCATCAACCCAAACATCAGGGAGGAAAGTGTCCTGGATAAGCCCCTGGGCAGAGGCCTTCGCTAAGTTGTCCGCGAGAGTGTTCCAGGGGTCATGGTTGTGACTTTTGACGTGTTCGTTTATGGCCTGGCGTTGCCTGGTGAGCAGGTCCCAGAGCACGGTGGCCGTCTTTGCTAGGGCCTGGTCCCGCTTGGGGAGCGCGTCCATATTTATGTTGTCCAACGAGCACATGGAGTCGGACATGAAACGAACTTCGACCGATTCGGGAAGATAAAGTGCCCATATCAATCCCCATGTAATTGCTAAGAGCTCCATGGTGGTGCTCGTGACGAACTGGATGTCCAGGTTAAAGCTGCTAGAGTCGGCAAAGGCGTGACGAAGTGATCCCCCATAGAACGGACCCTGCCCATCAACTCCTATGATGACTACTGCCCAACCCGCCAGGCCTCTTGCCAGGAAGTGCGAACCATCCGTGTACAAACACACGTGCTCCAGGCTGCTAAGGTCAGGCGCCCGCTGGGTACTATTGTCCAGTGCATATCTAGCCGGTGCTTCTAGGTCTTCAGGAACTAGATGGTCTTGCTCAGGAGGGGGAGTAATATCTATCAGATCGACATAAGACGTCGCATTTCCCACTCCTATTCTGATATATTCAGTAATGGAGGCCCCACCACTAAGCTCAGCTGTCTGGGGGGGGCGGGTCTGAGGAAGTACTCTGGATGCCCCCTCGATGGCCTCGGTCGGGGTTGGGTCGGAGAACGAGGGTCCCTGGCTTCCGAATTGCATAGCGTCTTGCGGTGACCCTTCAGGCTGTTGCCGAGGGCGCTTCTGCTTCAGAGCCGAAGGCAATGGAGTGCACTTGAAATATTCTAACGCCCTCTCTCGTCCGTGCTGTGTGAAATCACAGCTGTCCAGTGCACGCAGGCACGTGTGATTGCAGAAGTTGACGCGCCTCTCAGGGCGGGTCGCAGCTGCCTCGAAGCAGGAAGGGCCTTCCGAAGGCCCGAGAGGAGGCGAGGAGGCAGGGGAGCAAGGAGGGTGACGATTCGGCCCCCTCAAGAGCAGAGAGCTTATCCCGTCCATCTGGGACTGGGAGCCCTCATCAACAGCACAAAACTGGGGCCGGGAGCCATCAGGACGGCTCTCACGAGTATTTTCCACACTACTAGCCCTGGTTTGAGAGGATTCCCTTGACCCTGGGAAGCCAGAAGAAAAAACAGTGTCGCTCCAACTGCCGGCCTCAGAAGGTTCAGAAGCCGCTGTCGGCGTGGTAGACAAGGTAGAGCAAGTAAATCCAATAGGCGTCATGGATGTCCCCTGCGATGCTGCAGGTCCTGGTGTTGCTGAGCTCGATTGCACGACAATCTGCAAGAACTCAATATGTTCATCTTCCTCTTCGCCATCAGGCCCTTGTGCAGGCTCTGCTGGTTCTTGTAGCTGCGGATGCCAAGGATGGTGGAAGAAAGGTATCGGTCGTACTCTTGTCTCACGCCCAGGAACAACATAAGGGGTCTCTTCATTCGCCATAAGGTGTGCGCGTCGGAGAGCTCGATAGCACATTCCCTGTATATCATTGTTGGCGCTTGCGATGTGGTTTCTGCCCATCTCGGTGCCTTCATTCCAGCTGGTGGCCATCTGGAGTAGATATTCACGCACAGATTTGAGTACAAACTGTTGCTGCATATGTCGATGTAACCATAACAGATGTGTGCAGGTACTGTAGTATAGGTTGTGATCATACATCCGCGCAGCGATCCGTTCTCTGTTGCCAACTTGCCACGCATCTTGACATATTTCAACTGCTCTGTCAACCAACGACGGCATGGTCAAGAAGTCGTGAGGCAACCCACTGGTGAGTAGGGCCTGAAGCACTGCTGGTACACACCAGTTGAGAAAATCATTGAAAGCAATATTCTCTCCCCAAATGACAATGTCTGATGACCACTGAGCTCCCATCGTTGTCATCTGATTGACCATTCCAGACTTTACTTCCGTGAAGGTCGTACATGCATAGAAGGGTGGCATATTGAGATATGAGCTCATCCCACGAGAATCAAAATTAGCCCCCTCCTCCGTCGGGGCTGGGGTAGCTGTGAGGTAGATGCCATTGACCCGCTCGGCTTCGACGCTTATATGCCCATAGTTGTCGTCGCCGCTGGTCTGGCTGAGTGGTCCGTTTTCCCTCGTACCACTAAAAGGCTCTTTGATTACCGTATTGGGATATGAACCCATCCCAGGAGAATTGAAATCTGCCCCCTCCTCCGGCGGAGTGGCCACCATCTCAGGAGGGGGAGCCGTGAGGTAGAAGTCATTGACCCGCTCGGCGTCGACGCTGAAGTACCCGTAGCTGTCGTTGCCGCTGGTCAGGCTGTGCGGTCCATTTTCCCACGTGCCACTAATTGATGGAGCCGAGGAGCCCGTGGAGTAGTCTGATGCCAACATGGTCGAGGGTCTCCCATCGCCTTCTGACCTATTCCTGTTGGGCATGTAAATCAAATTTCCTGCTCCCCGACAACTTCGTCGTCGCCACGCTGCATCTTCTTGGCTGGACTGCTGCCTAGTCCCGCCACCGCAGAGCCCCTCGTCAATGAGGGATTCCCTTCCGCTGCCCCTTCCGCTGTTGCCGCTGCATCTGGAGCTGCGACGCTGGCAGAGGCTGGGGCTCCACTGTGCGCTGTCGGGGAAACCCCCGCGGCTGTTAGCTGCGTGTACCAGTCCTGGGTCCTGGGTTGGTGGAAACCATGCTGGCGGAAAGTTGCCGTTGTCTCGATCGTGCAGGCTCTGAGAGCTCATCATGTACTCGAATGCCCGCTCTTGAAGTGAGGCCGTGCATGAAGTCGATGGACCCGGAATCGACTCTGGCATTTCCATCGGCTGCGTAGGCGTAAGGAGAAAATGCTGGATAGGCGCAATCTGTGGCTGCTGGGTAGCAGAGGCTATGTCCGTCGGTGTGATCGGTACCGATGGAGTGAGCCCTGGGGTGGGTTCGCCTCTGACCTGCGATGTCGTAACCCGCATCGGGAAAACAGGCGTCTCGTCCTCCGCCTGCACGGGGCCTGTCGGCCCCGCTGTGCGAAACCCCAGCTGTTCGTCCATCATGCCTTTGCCTTTGCCCTTGCCCTTCATTGCCATCATGGTTTGCTTCATCTGCTGCTGTAGGGCCTGGTCCTGGGTCTCTTGGGACTGCGACGGGTCGATCACGATGACCTGAGTCGCCTGGGCTGCAGCTTGCCCTGGCTGCGGCTGCTGCTGCGGCTGTTGCTGCACTGCTGGACGGACCTGAGAAGCAGGTGTGATAGGGCTCATCTGCGTGGCTGCGAAGGGGTTGCTGACCAAATAAGGGTGTCCAAACATCTGTGGTCCTGTTCCCGCTGGGGCTCCTGGGTTCATGAATGGCGAGATCGCTGGCGCAGCCTGAGGCATCGGGGGAGAAGGAGATGGAACTACGCCTCCACCCATTTGATGCGTGATGAACTGCTGCATGAAATTCTCCATGTTCTGCTGCCTGGTCATCATCTGCTGCATGAAAGATTCCATTTCTTGATTGCGATGCCATGCCCCGTTTGCTTGATATGTCGGTACCACTGTGGGCGGCCCAGGTGCAGCACTGTCTGTCATGTCCATCGCCTGATCCTGGACTCCCAGCTCGTCGGCCTCGGATTTCATGGCTTCCATTTGCTCGAGGCAGGCTCTCAGCTGATCGACCTCCTTTGAGCATTGCAGTTCCTGATTCTTGAGCTCCTTTATCTTTGATGTTAGAATCTCCTGACGTTCCAAGGCTTTGTCCAGCTTTTGTCGGGTCTCGTTTATTCGCTTCTGAGGCGGTTGAAGCAGAAGTAGGGAGTATTTTGCCATCGCTATCTCTTCCAATGATGTGAAATCGTTTTGACCCGCCATCTGAGCTGAGACCACCATATGTGCCAGTCGGTATAGCCTGCTTCTGGTCTCCTCGCGAAATTTGACCTGCAACGTGGGCTCGGTTGGAGGATTTTTCCAAGAAGGATCGGCTGCTGCTTGCTGAGGGCTGGCCGGCGCTGTCTTGGAAATGAGTCGCCTGATCTCCTGGTCCAATGCCGCTTCTGAAACTTTGTCCCCGTTGGCTTTCTTCCACGGAGCTATGCTTTTCCCTCGACTTGATGGGCGGGGAGCTCGCTGCATCGAATCTTTTTGGTACTGACTCTCCCAAGACCTGCCACAGGAACACCAACGCAAATGCCGCGGCACATTCTTGCCGCATGCACAGTACCATCTCCCACTCATGTCGTAGCTATGGTGATCCTGCAACCTGCTGATCGCCTGATGGAGCCGAACCAAGTCCCGAGCTGTGGAGCGCTGCGCTCGGGCTCGGCGGTGCCAGGTCGGGCTCCTCGGGCGAGGAATCGCTCGCGCGTGCCGCGCGGACGCGGTCAGCTGTGACCGCTGGGGTTGGCCGGTGGGGCAAGGCAAAATGCTGCGCCCTCCTCGGCCAAACGCCTGCTGCTCCTCCTCCTCCTCCTCCTCCTCCTCCTCCTCCTCCCTCCCCCAAGCTGCTGTCGTTGTGGCCGTCTCTGTCCGCATCCTCGCCTTCGGGTCGGGTTGCGGCTGTTGGCGTGGTGGTCGCATCATCGTGGCCGTCGTGCTGGTCGTGGCCGTGCTCATGGTCGTGGCCGCGGTCGCTGCCGTCGCCCTCGCGGCCGGCGTGACCCCTGCCGGTGACGAGGGGCGGGGTGCCGAGGCCTTCCGAGGAGCTCCCGCCGCGCGCGGACGTGCCCGAGGGTGCGGCCGCCGAAGACGAGCGGCTGGCGGAGGCCAAGGCCGCCAAGGCTGCCAAGGTAAGCGGCGGCGGCGGCGGCGGCGGTAACAGCGGCGGCGGTGACCACGGCAGCGACGGCAGCGGCGGATGGGGAGACCACGGCGGCGTCGGCGGCAGCGTCGGCGGCGGCGGCGGCTAATGCGAGTGCGGGGGCGGCGGCCCGGAACGCCAGGGCGGTTCGGAACATAATGCGGACGACGACGACGACGACGACGACGACGACGACGACGACGACGACGACGACGACGACGACGACGACGACGACGACGAAGGCGGCGACGACGGCAACGACACCGTCGACGGTTGCCATGGCGTCGATGGCGGTGTCCTGCTGCTGCTCCGCTGCCTGCCCCACCTCCTGCCCCTCCCCCTCGCCTTTTGCCGCTCCTGCCATTTCTCCTGGTCGCCTGCCCATCCTCCGCCTGGCCCTCCTGCTTGCCCTGCCTCGCCTTCGCAGCGGCGGCAAGCGTGGATGGCCCTGTCCTCGCCCTCCTTTGCGGTCGGGCACCACGGGAGGGAGGAGGGGGAGGACGCCGAGCAGGAGGAGGAGAAGGAGGCGGAGGAGGAGGAGGAGGAGGAGGAGGAGGAGGAGGAGGAGGAGGAGGAGGAGGAGGGAGGAGGAGGAGGAGGAGGAGGAGGAGGGAGGAGGGGGAGGAGGAGGGGGAGGGGGAGGGGGAGGGGGAGGGGAGGAGGAGGAGGAGGAGGAGGAGGAGGAGGAGGAGGAGAGGAGGAGGAGGAGGAGGGAGAGGAGGAGGAGGAGGAGGAGGAGGAGGAGGAGGAGGAGAGGAGGAGGAGGAGGAGGAGGAGGAGGAGGAGGAGGAGGAGGAGGAGGAGGAGATGATGCTGATGATGATGATGATGATGATGATGAGGAGGAGAGGAGGGAGGAGGAGGAGGAGGAGGAGGAGGAGGAGGAGGAGGAGGAGGAGGAGGAGGAGGAGGAGGAGGAAGAAGAAGAAGAAGAAGAAGAGGAGGAGGAGGAGGAGGAGGAGGAGGAGAGGAGGAGGAGGAGGAGGGGGAGGGGGAGGGGGAGGGGAGGGGGAGGGGGAGGGGGAGGGGGAGGGGGAGGGGGGGAGAGGGAGGAGGAGGAGGAGGAGGAGGAGGGAGGAGGAGGAGGGGAGGGAGGAGAGGAGGAGGAGGAGGAGGAGGAGGAGGAGGAGGAGGAGGAGGAGGAGGAGGAGGAGGGAGGAGGAGGAGGAGGAGGAGGAGGGGGAGGGGGAGGGGGAGGGGGAGGGGGAGGGAGGGGGAGGGGAGAGGGAGGGGGAGGGGGAGGGGGAGGAGGAGGAGGAGGAGGAGGAGGAGGAGGAGGAGGAGGAGGAGGAGGAGGAGGAGGAGGAGGAGGAGGAGGAGGAGTTTTTTTGACGAGCGCCCTGCAGCACCAGCCTTACTCCCTGATGGGAATGGACTCCACCCGTATGCGTTCCGTCGGGTGCCAGCCTCGCTTCACCCTGGACCAATACTCCGCTGCCTTTGCGAGTGGACGTGTGCACTCATGGCGGAGCTGCTTAAATTGTCCAAGGGTCGACAACGCTTTGCAGCGGGTGCAGATAATTAAGATCTGATCGTTCGAGCATTCGAGCGCCAGACAGGAGTGACCGCGTTCGATCACAGAACGAGCTACGAGAGGCAAGTCTCCTGCGCAGCCCTCGGACGAGGGACGCGCTGCTTGCCTGCGAAATCTGAGGCAACGATTGCACCTCCAAAAAGACTTGACCCACACCCAGACATGCACTCCCTCAGGCACCGCAGCCCCAAGGCGGTGAGGGCGAGGAGGCGCTATGTAGGGAACGTCTGCGAGGTCCAGACGTGGCCAAGAAACTAGAACTTTGGCCGCAAGGCGCGAGACTGTACGAGAAACCTTGAGCTGCCAATCTAGCTTAGCCTGCTGCTCATTGTTACACCTGGGGTGAGCTGCGGCCCCAAGCTTGGCTGATCGATCAGCCTCGTCATTCCCGATTTTAAAGAACCGTTCATCGGGGGAGAGAAAGTCCGACTCAGCCACATGGGCCTTCACTTTGATCAAATCCGAAAAACGGGTCCCCAAAACATTAATCATGAGGCCCGAGTAAGGCCTCTTGTACGACAGCTTCTTAGAACGGTCGAACTTAAAGGCCCTACACACATTCAGACAGTCTGAGTATCCTGGAGCAGGGTCCGTGAGGCAAAGACTAGAATAAGCTAGAGCCCCAAACTCGGCCGCCTGAGGGGTCTGGGGAAACCGATCCCAAAGGGGAGCCCAGGCTCTAAGCTTCAAAACCTGCTGAGAATCAAAAACCGCTAAGCCCCACCCTGCCCTGCTTAATTCCTTCACTACGTGCTTCTGACAGGAACCATCCATGAACACATAAGCTCCAGAAAACAGTTGCTCATCATCATGTTCTTGATCAACCTCCCAACGGAACTCTGGAGCACATTCGGGAACAGGACGGGGGTGAAGGTCCCCAGGATGTGGGAACAGGCCCTTGGTGAATAAAATTCAGTCCTCCATGGAACACGAAGCAGGGTCAATCTCATTGGCCTCCTGCAAAGCTTCTGGATTTCCAATTTCCTGTCTGAGCTTCGCGACCTCAGGGTCAGGACAAACCCAAAGCCTGTGGAAAATCGAGTCCGGGGGCCCGCCGCACAAAGCGCAGCACGTGTCCTGGATTTGATAACCGCACTGGGTCGCCCGCTCCTTGGTCCAACTAGCACCGCAGACGTTGGCTCTGATCGAGCCTTTCTCGAACGGCGTATATTTGGAACTGCTGAGGTCGCGAATCACAGAATCGTAGCATAGCCTGGCGCCGACGCCACGCTTCTCACCTGAAAGTCTGCACAGTTGACGAATGACAGCTTCCCGCAGAAGATTCTTGATCAATTTGGGGGAAGAGGTCGTGAGAGAGAAGGTGGCGCCAAGGTCGTTCGTCATCTGCGCGTAGCTGGGCATGCTCCAGCCGATGCGCTTGAGGGACATAAACATAGCACCTATGGGGCCCCGCACCTGCCGCCAAGCAGCTGGCGGGTTGGCCCACGTCTGAGTCCAGGCGTCGCGTAGACCCGCGGAGCCTAGAGCACAAGGAGTCTGCTGAACCTGGGCATCCCACAATTCCCTGGAATATCTGGCAATCGGAGAAATGGCAGCATGATAAACTGGGTCCCCTTCCAGAATACACAGCGAAGTAAGGGACCTGGACCCAGCCGAAGGTTTGACAGACTTCCCAAATCCAGACCGTAACATTCCCAACTCGTAATCAGAAGCTCCATAAACCTCTGAACCGTAGGTAACTGATGCCAGCGGCCCTGAAACAAAGATCTTGCGAGTGTGTCGGCCTAGAGCTTGGCGAGCTTTTATCGCCCGTCGGCAGCGGGCTCTAAACTGAGCCTGCCTAGCCTGGGCCTTCCTACCTCGACCTTTGGTGCGGCGAGCCTGCCCAGCACATTCGTCGACCCCAAGATTGATCGCAGAGCTGGTGTCCGCCGAGGGGCCGCCGTGCGCTCCCAGAAACTTCTTCATCTCCTGGGTTACGTCGGCGTGAGAAGCCACTACTGCTGCCTTATCAGTAGATATGGTCGCCTCCATATCGGTCTCCAGGGGCACCAAGAGGTCGACCGAGGCCCGCTTCAAAGACGACACAACCGATTTCGAAGTCCCCGAACTCGAAAGCCCATAGTCGTCTATTGTACGTGCTCGCGCGCTATGTGTTGTCCAGCGGGCCTTCCCCACCGTGTGCCGTACCAGGATACGGCTGAACAGAACTCTCTACAGCCCCTCTTTGCTCAAGTTTTCTTGGGCACCAGTCTCGCCGCTTCGTGCATGCAGGCGGCGGCTGGCTGGGTTCTTGGGATCCTCGCGTCCCGCTGGTCCGCGCCGGCTCCGCCCGCGGACCCGTCCTGCACCTGCATCTTCAGCGGGCACGAGCCGAGCTCGGGCGTGCTGGACATCCTCCGGGAGCAGCTCTCGCGCTGCGGCCCGGAGCACCTCGGGGCGGCCTGCCCCGCGTGCCCGGCCTGCGTGTGCCCGCAGTGCCCGGCCCCAGCGGCTCCGTCCGGGGCCTGGGTGCTCGTGGTCCTCGTCGGGCTCGCGAGCTTCGCCGCCGGGGTGGCCGCCGCGGCTGCCTGGCTGCTTCGGGCGGGGCCGCCTCGCGCGGTCCTGCCGCCGCTGGCCCTCGCGGAGGGTCCTGCCGGGGAGCTCGTGGGTGCTGCGACGCCGGCGACCCTCCAGCGAGTGCGGAGGCGGGCTGGCGCCGTGAATGCCGAGGGCGCTTGACGTTCCCTACGCCCAGTGCCTCGTGCGGTACGACGACGACGAGAACTTCCAATGGCACCACAGGGTCCTCCTCGTCAAGGGGCCGGACCAATGGTGGGTGTGGGTGACTCCCGACGGCGAGATCGCGGCAGCCAACCTGGGGGGCTTCCGAGTGGTCGCCCTCCAGCGTGGGGGAGCCTTCCCCGACCGCTACCGTGGCAACATCTACGTGTTCGACGATGCCGATGTGGACGCCGAGGAGATGCACCAGTACTACCGCGAGGCGCGGGCGCTGGGGGACATCCTCGGGCACCCCGCCTCGGCGGCCCCCCTCGCGCGGGACGAGCGGTGGTTCGTCTCGGACCCGACCTCGCCCCAGTATGGCGAAGAGGTGCCCGCGGCCTCCGTGGGCAACGACGAGGTGCTCATCCGCCGGGGCGAGGTGGGCCTCGTGCTGATCGACGACGTCTGGCAGACGGCGGTGCGTGTCGAGGCCGGCGGCTCCTTCGAGGAGTGGCAGGCTCGGGCGCGCGGAGGTCCTGGTCGGGACCCGCGCATCGCTGGCGACGAGCGGGACGAGGAGAAGGATCGCTTCATGAGCTTCCGCACCTCCGTCTCGAAGATGCGAGAGCAGGCCATCCCTGGTTGGCCCCTCAAAGGGAAGCGGGCTACGCGCGAGGCTTGCCTCGCTCTTCGGGATGCCGGACAGGAGGGTTGGGACGAACACCACACGACGTGGGTCAGGAGGTCCGGCATCCCGGAGAAGAGCAACACCGCCCGCGAGCACCGGATGC